ATCGTATTCCGGCCGTGAAAGCCTTCGACAATACAAATCTAAGTTTCCTTTTCTCATTTCCTTCCTTAATTCAGGTACCATTAGTCCTCTTAAATATGGAAGATCTCAAATTTTCATATTTATTTATTTATTTATTAGCTGTGTCATAGTGCTCGCCAGATGGACTCACAGATCTTGCCCTCTGCTGCCTATCATTGCTTTGGTCAATTAAGGCTTTCACATAATGCTTTTTAGTAAGATTGAAGGGGTTTATATGGGTTTCCAGCCTTAGATTTGCCTGTGATACATGCCACATCCCCTGCTAGTAGTAGACACACAATATTGGACATTTTGGGCTACTATGGCCCAAATATACTACTGGCTACCAAGGCCCAGTTTTACTCCAAACATGCTCATGCTATTCTGTGCAGGCTAGGATCTCTAATCTAAGAACGCTTTGCAGGCCAACACACTGTGGTCCACATCACACCAAGTAGGAATGGGGTAATGCCCCAAGATTATTAAAGGATTTCCTGGCACATTGTTAAGTCCCACCTAAAGAGTTTATAGTAATTCTATTACTTACTTTAAAAAAATTATTTTATTATAGGAAAGGACACATTTATTATAGCACGGATTAGAATTACATTCCAACTAAATCAAAATTTCCAAAGTCTATTCCACAATGTTTCCTTTTGAAGTACTAAAATCATTTACTAACAGCTTCTAATCCTGTTTAATGTTTTCAGTGGCTACTTATTTTGCTCGATTTACAGATCAATGATACAGGAATTCAGTTTATAGCTGCAGGCTGCAGTTTCCTTCATTATTTGGATATTTCAGGTTGCAAAAATATTACTGATAAGGCACTAAAATACCTGGGGAAAGGTTGTCTACAACTCCGAATACTTAAGATGTTGTACTGCACAAATATTACCCGGTAAGATGTTCCATAAGACAAATGTGTAGCTTCCATAAACAAAACATTCATTTTAGATAATATAATTAACAAGCCAGCAAGATACCATATTCTAAATTCCTGAGCTGGCTATAATACAATTAGTTTTCATACCATTTTACACATCTTCATTTCAGATCAGCAGTTTTAAGTTATGCACCAAAGCTCCAGAAATATGAATATAATGATGACGACCCTCCTCTATGGTTTCATTATGCCAGTGGTGAAGAAATAGTCATTCCAAAGAAACAGAAAAAAGGCCGGCATAGTAGCCTGGGGCAGCGACTCAGCCTGTCGGGGTCTCCAGGAGAAAAAGGGTCAGAACAAAGCAAGTTTCCTTTGATTGAAACCATAACAGAACAAGCTGTGGAAGAAAGTGTGATCTCCCCAGGAAGTCTTGCAGAAGAGCCCCCAAAGGTGTCAGCTGTTTAAAATGCCTAAAAGCCGACAATCCTTTTTGTTAGTGAAAAAATGCACTTTTTAAAAAGGAAACGCTTTTAATTTGATAGTAACAATGTCCCTGTCAAACAATGTTACCTTTTTTCTTAAAAACTGTGGAGGAAAAATTATGCCTTTGTTTTTTTCTTCAGAGAAAACTTGATCTGGACAATGAGTTATTAAAAGATTTCTGGATTTCTCTGCAGTCTTAGTTTAAGCATATGAAGCTGGTTGTTTTCACTGTTGTGAAAAAAATCATAATTTATTTAGGTCAGAATTTCTTACCTAACGCTATAGCCAAAGAATTAAGCCATAAGGTGGCAAAATGCGTTTCCAAACGAATCATTACCTTCACATAACACATATACTCCACAGATAGCAATGCGCTCTTGCAGTGAGAGCAGTGTGCATGTTAACTAGTCCCATGAATGAAAGCACTTTCTTCAGATAAAAACGCCTTTATATCACCGTTCCTACATAATGAGCCTCAATATCTCATACCGTAAATCATGTGCCCAGCTTCTGATCCACAGCCACACCTGTCGAGTTACAACATGCTCCGAAATGTTGACATGCTGAGGTCTTGCTCCAGCAAAAGAGATCTTTTCCTTTGTTTCAAAAATGACTACGGCATGCTTATGGAGAAATGGCTTAAATATTTATTAGCTTTAAAATTTTTGAGAGACAGTTCCAAGTTGACATGTATAGAGGGAATGAAAAAAATGTCTTGCTGTTATGAAGACAGGCTTATTCCCTAAAGCACAACTCAGAGCCTCAGAGTACGCGGGCCTTCCCCAAAGTGGTGCAGTCATTAAGAGCCCCTTGATTGTTTAAAATATGAAAGACAGGGCCATGAATGAAACTAAAAATAGTCGGCTTTGCATCTTGATGACTGTATAGATATACACCTGTTTCCTTGGCAACAATAGATGTGGTTTGCCATTATGTCTTCTGAGTTGTCTTTTAGCTTTCTAATCTAGCCTACAGCCCTGGGATTTCTTGGAGGGGTGAGGATGTTTTCTAACCAGGACGAACCAGGTCAGAACTTTACTTTTTCAAGGATGGTTAAATGCTGCGACCTGCTATGATGTGCAACAAAAATGATGAATAATTCATCATTAGAACACCCACTTCAGCTATCTGTAACTGATAGTTACAGCCACGTACGTCTTACAGCGGTAAGATGTCCGATTCCTGTTTTCAGGGGAGATCCGGGATTATGAAGTATGGTTATACATATTACATAGAAAGTACTAAACTAGATGAGTTGTAAAAGCTCTATGATCATGAGGGAAGGGAGTAACAGATGCTCATGAGGTCATGACTCAAATGATGCAACATACTTTTGCTCCATGTTGTGATGCAATTATTGAGATGTACCCTCTGCATGATGGCATCATAATCACTTTGACATAATCACAGCTTCTCTTTTATAAATGCAAAACTTAAATGCCCAGCTGATATACAACCTTGTCCAACTCTGTTTTGAGTTTATTTTATTTTATTTTATTTATTTATTTATCAAACTTATCCCCGCCCATCTCCCCCCAATGGGGGACTCTGGGTGGCTTACAACAGATTAAAACAATAAAAAAACATATAGTTAAAATTTATAAGAAAACACATTTACACAGAATAAAGGAAGAGGAGTTGACATAGTATTTGTTAGATGGCTTTGGGGTTACATCTGATCTTCAAAGATATATCATCATAAATGGCTGGACTAAGGTGGATGCCACTCTCTAGAATCAAATCTCCAATCCTTCTAAAAGCAGTCAGAGCTTCTAGGATCGCGGCCCTGGGAGATAAAAGCTTACATTTCTTTCTTGTGCTGTTTTCCTGCTATAAATGCTTTTCCTCATTTGCTCTTTGTCCCATAAGGGGGAAAAAAATACAAATCCCTTTTCTTCACATTAATAAATCAGTCATGGCATAATCTGAGTAAAGTGTATTGGCTGAAAGCTGAAAATGAAAGTTGCTTACAAGTGATATGTTTCAAAATCTTTCAATTTATAAGGTTTGTTGAATGGCTTAACAGAATTACCAAGAACAAAATTAGGGAATTAGACTTTTTCATCATTTCTGTAATAGAGTTTGAAACTAGAAAGACATCAAGAAGATAAAACTTCTCCAATTCAGAGAAGTAAGATCCACACTTTCATTACTAGGAAGTGTAATCTTATTTTACAGTCACCTCTCATTGTTCTGCCTATATTTATAAAGTAAGTATTATCAAGGAATCTTCAGCTTCAGAGATTGGAACCAGCTTTGACTTTTGAGATTTACTGTGCCATACTGTGTCTCTGCTTTAATACATTTTCCTTTTTCATCCTTTTGATCCATGTGGCCTGGGAGGGGGGAAAAATTAGTTATTTCCACACATTATTAAAGGGTCTTCTACATTTTAATGTTCCACAAATTGGCTTTACCAGATGAAATCATTACATTTTAATAGTATGGCCTGCTTTGTAGCTTTTTAAAATCGTGTGATCAATCTGAGTATATACTAGCAGTAATACATTTTAGAGTAATAGTACTTATATTTAATTTTTAATCCTGGCTACAAATAGTTGAAGGTTACAGATGCATGGATCTTCCTTAATGAAAACCTGTGTAGGTAAATCTAGATTCCTTTGGTGCAGACAGTCACTATTTCCAGTTTCCACATATTTTCTGTTGCTGAGCGTTGTTCTTGACAGTGGTGAGACAAGCACTGGACTAGATAGTAATCACATATGTCTACAATTCTGCACCAAGCCCAGAAGTATACAGTGTTCTCCACCAGTTTTACAAAATAATAAAATTACAAGCAGCTTGAAAAAAAGGTAAACAGGAATTCGTAACTTCTTGCCCACCATTTTTGTCTCCAAATGCCCAAGGTTCTAAATTTGGAATGGGAAGATGATCAGCAGGAAAGAATTAACCGCTGTCTGCTTCCTATTCCTTCCTAACACTAGTTTTAATTTTTTTGAAGTGTGTTGGATTAATACTACATATAACACAGAATATGTAGGTAGGCCCTCACCAAATGTTCATCAATACTTAAGAGATACTTTAGCACAGTGTTCCTCAACCTTGGCGGCTTTAAGATGTGTGGACTTCAACTCCTGCTGTACC